TTCCCAAACTCTTTTCTAAAATGAATGCCATCCACTTGGGAGGCTTCTTCCTGAGATTTTACAGCTTAAGCATAAAAGTAGACAGTAAATAGATGGTAATTATTGACAAATTCATTGCTAGGTTAATGTGTACATTTCCACTCACAGCTAGTCATTTGTTTGTTCTAGCCTCAACCCCGACTGTGTGGAGCCCCTGCTGCCAAGGCAGTCGGATGAGACTTGAATTTCACACAGTTATGTCCATTGTTATTTGTATAGTGGAGATACCTTCAGTCTTCAACCAGTGTTTTCACACAGTGAATTTCAGTCCTAAGTAGACATTTTTTTTTAAATTGAAGAACAAACATCAGTAACACTAACATGAATTTTTACAGGCTTTTCTTGCATATAGATATTATACAAATGGGATTTCTGTCTTTTAAATGCTAGAACTCCCTGAATCATTTTTTTAAATATATTTTTTTATTGATTTCAGAGAGGAAGGAAGAGGGAGAAAGAAATAGAAACATCAATGATTAGGGAGAATCATTGATCAGCTGCCTCCAGGGGGCCCCCACACTGTGGATTGAGCACGAAACCCAGGCATGTGCCCTGACTGTGACCACCTGGTTCATAGGTCAGTGCTCAACCACTGAGCCACACTGGCCAGGCTGGACTGAGTCTTGTATGTCTTTGTGTTCCCTTGAGAGCCTGGCACGCAGAGAATGTTTGGTAAGTCTTTGCGGTAGGCCTGGTTATTATGTACAGTGAATTAAAATGGAATATAAGAACTACATATATGGCTCAAAAAAATGAAAACATTTGAAAAATGCATACAGAGCAAATCATACCTCCTACTCCAGCCCCACCATCTGCTTAGTTCTGATCTCACCTAAGAGTAAAAAAATTTTCTGTGTATTCTTCCAAAGTTTCTTTATAGATTGAAATATCATTTCTCTCTCCCATCTTTGTTCATGAAATATAGTGTATTATAACCAGTAGTCTTCACCTTGTTTTTTTTCACCTACCAATATGGAGATCTTTCTATATTGGTATATAGAGAACTTTCTCCTTTTTTATGCTTGTTTAAAGAATACAGTGTGTGATTTTCTTAACCAGTCCCCTATTTGTTTTCAGTCTTTTCCTGTTGCAAATGGCTGCTGTTGAATTCCATTACACAGACGTCATTTTGAATGTGTGCAAGCGTGACTGTAGACAGTTTCCCAGAAGTGGGAGAGGGCACGTGCATTTATAATTCGATAGATAACTGCTTAAATGACTTCTCAGGGTTAGACTAGCTTACACTCTCATCAACAGTACAATAAATCTTTTTCTAAAATTGAAGGCTTTCGTGCAGCTGCATCAGAACATGGGAACAGAGCAGGAATCAGGAGATAAGATAGGAGCACCCACTTGTTTCCAAGATTTTTAGCCCGTGATCTCATTTAGTTCCTACAAGAGCAAACATTAGATAACCAAACACAGCTGAAAACCGCAGCTCAGTGAGGATGCATAACTTGCCCAAGGTCTCACAGCTAGTAAGTGATGGGGTTGGGGCTTAGTATGTGAGGCTCTGAACCCCTGCTCTTCTCACAAGCTCCAGGCCCATCTGGGGTCTAGGTTCGGTTCTGCCAGAGCTCGTCATGTCACCTTACACCTAGGAGGAATGCAATCCATTTCTGTGGCGTGTGTGGATGGGTGAATGAGTGAGTAAACAGAGATGGGAATTTAGAGGGGTGGGAGTACTGCTTAGAAAAGCAGAGAGAGAGAGTAGGAATTGGGACCCACAGAATACAGAAACTGGAAGGTAATTTTGGCCAAAATGGGCTCGGGAAGAGAGTGTTGGGTTGTTAAGAGGGTCTTCTAGTCAGACAGGAGGTCAACACTGCAAAACAAAGTTTTATTGTGTTCTGCTAAATCACGCTCCTGTAAGGTTGTCACATGTCCCAGCTCCTGTGTACAGTTTCACTTATGTTAATGTTTTACAACATCAAGTTTTAAAATAAAAACCTAATACTTGTGGGGGGTTACCTGAAAGGCTCACTAAACTGATAAAAGCATCGAACTTGGCTAGGCTTCAAATCCTGGTGCGTACAAGTGCAGGTAGTACTGGGTAACGATTGGTTTTTTAAAATCCAAATACCAGACTAAAGCTCGGCAAGTGCGTGTTAATGTCTGGAAAATACCCTAATGACCTCAGAGCTTCTCTACTGTCAGGGCTGTTACTATTGTTCATTCCTTGAACCCCCTCCTTGGGAACTGCCCAGGGGGTCAGAGCTTTGCCCTTTAAGGATGAAGACTGAAAAAAACAAACACACACCCACATTGTTTTTAACAGTTAAAATTCCACGGGAATTATGTGTGCTTATCAAGCGTTCTGCGGTATCTTTCCAACTATGTGTTCTTGTTTCTCTGTAGTTAAATTTAAAAATTAGGTTTACCTTCAAACTTTATTGCATTTACCTTGTGATGGTCAAAACTAATTTTAAATAAGTGAATCCAAGTATTTCTACTATAAAAGAAAAGGGGTTTGTCTGGTTTTTATTTGCCCTCTATAGGATTTTTTAAAAAATTGTTTTTATTGATGGTTTTATACTTCCCTACGTGGGATATTGCTTAGGTTCGCCTCTCTTCAAAATGAGTGCCTTGTTAACATCTGTCGACTAACAGAATGCGCCTTTGCGGATTAGCGTGTGTGCCATGGCACACGAGGACAGCATTTCTACATACACTGATGAGGGAAAGGGGCAGAAATATGTAGAGTTAGCGCCACAGTTAGCTCCACAAATGTTTGTTGGATGGATGGATAAAGAAATGAATGGGCCGAAGCCAGTTTGGCTCAGTGGATAGAGCGTCGGCCTGCGGACTGAAAGGTCCCAGGTTCGATTCCGGTCAAGGGCATGTACCTGGGTTGCGGGCACTTCCCCAGTGGGGGATGTGCAGGAGGCAGCTGGTTGATGTTTCTCTCTCATCAATGTTTCTAACTCTCTGTCTCTCTCCTTTCCTCTCTGTGGAAACTCAATAAAATATATATTTAAAAAAAAAAAAGAAATGAATGGGACTGAGGAGAAAGCAAAGTAAAAATAGGAGTAGGAAGATGACTAGGCTCTGCCCTTGAGCTGACTCATGCTGCATCCCTGGTTCCCGAAGCTCAAAACCTACGAGAACCTAGAGATGGTGGCAACAAGGGAAAAATACCAAGATCTCCCTTTCTCACTGATTCTCTAGAAAACCCTGCAGACAGGCCGGTGAGGTCTTTGGGATGTCTGACCTGTCATCCCGGGGGTAGGACATACTGCTCAAGGTTTCCTCCTTGCTGGGTAGAAACTTGTCATTTCTGATTAGGGTAACTTGTTCTAATAAACACTTTATATGCATTATTTAATTTGATTAGCCCAATGGTGAGTGCTGATTTTTTAACTTGTATATCAATTATTTTCTTATTTTTAGCATATGCTCCTCATAATCATCTTTTTTTATGGTACAGTCACATTTCATCCAGTAGAATATTTATCTTTTCCCACAATTTTTAGATTTTAAGTTGTTCTCCAGCTTTTGCTATTATAAAGAATACTGGGATGATATACTTTCCCCCAAAGCATTTCCCTGACATTTATGCTTTTAGGATAAATTTCCAGGATCACTGGGTCAAAGAGTATAAACATGTATTGTCACAATGACTTTTCATTCATTGTTTAATGTGAGGTGATGGCTCATGGAACTCTGAGACAGGTGGGAGAGACAGGTTCACTGCCATTTTAACAGACGAGATCATTGGGAGCTACGTTCTCCAGGTCATACAGTTAGAGGAAGAGCCATCATTAAAATGCATGCTTCTCAGATCTCTCCTAATTGGTCTTCCCAGTGCACCCCCAAAATGAAATGAACTGAACATGCCACTTTCCTTCCCAGACATTTTAGTCTTGACCTAATGGGGCTTCTCTGTCACGAGGCCTCCTCCTTTCACTCAGGGTCCTTCTACTTTAGGAGGAAAGTAAGACATTTCAAGCAGCCCAAGGACCACACGTGAAATCTTCAGCTACATCTAAGGAGGAAGAAAGGTGGAACAGGGACAAGAACATGAGAAAACAAAATGTGCTAAATTAGAATATGGGACAGGAACCATGAGAAAGTGCATAAGGAGCGAACAGGAAAAACACACTGTGATTCCGAAGGACCTTAATGCTCAGGATGAGGTGTGTGAGCTGAAGACAGCAAAGAGACTTGAATTAGGGAGCGTTAGGGTCATGGTATGGCCTTTCTGTACTCAATTGTACCCAAGACTGTCTTGAACTGTCAAATCTACTTCTTGATAGCCATATACTTTCTCAAGATAGAAACTAAACAAGAATGTGTATTTTCTTTTTATTTTTCAAATGAACGATCAAAAAGTAACTTCAGCTATGTATTTTTCAACCACAGAAGAAAGCGAGTCCTGCTTTGTCCAACCCAAACCACGTTCATTGGGAGGAGAATCTACTATTTCTGACAAGGCACAAAAGGAAAACCTTCCTCCATTAGAGAAGCTCAAGATTTCAGCAGCGTCTACAGCTAATGGTGTTAAATCCCTTCATGATCAGCCCCTGGCAAAGGATGCTGCAGACCCGCTGGGATCCCCCGAGAAGATTCAGCCTCTAGAGGGACCCCAGGAGTCTGGGCCACTTCAGCAAGATGGCAAAGATGAAACTCCAGGAGCAGGAGGACAGAAAGATGTGGAAGCAGTGCCAGAGGCCCAGCCTTTAGAAGGAAATGCCGAGACGGAACCTTTAGGAACAGAAGCCAGGCATCAGCCTTTGAGGGCGGCCGGCGAGAGGGACTCCCCTGGAGCCGTAGGAGACACCGAGACTCCACAGACTGCCAGAGAGATGAAACCTCTAAGAAGAGCTGGAAAAATCCCACCTCCGGAAGCAGGTAGAGCGTCACAACCTCCACCAAAGCCCCAACTCCTGGACACCGTTCCCACGGAGACGGAAGCTCCAGAAATATTGGAAGGACATCAGCCTGTTGAAACAGCTGAGGAACATCAACTTCAAGAAACACTGGGGAGGGATGAGCAATCCCAGCTCCTAGAAACAATGTCCAAAGGGAAAGGATTTCTGGAAATATCGGAAGGAAGTCAGCTTGTGGAAGCAGCTGTAAAGAACGATTTGATTCCTAAAACTCCTGAAGGTCTGGTCAACATGGAGCAGATTCAACCTGAAGGAATAGTCGGAAGCGTGGAGCATCCAGCAGGAACTCTGGGAACAGGGACAAACGTGGAAATTGTCAGGAAAATTCACACCAAAAAGGAGGACCAAAACATTGAAGGTAAGAGATGCTGTTAGAGATTCAGGATGTTTAGATGGGCTTCATAAGAGGTCACCTTGGGGGGGAGAGGTGGGGAGAGGGAGGGAGGATGTGGCTTCCACATACACTGAAGTATCTATTACAGGTGGTTGAAGTTCGTTGGACCCAAGTCAAAAAGGTTTCCATATCTGGAAAACAGGCGTTTGGCTTTCCAGCAAACTTTTCTAAAGCACATTGTGTGTCCAGATTTTTAACGTAGAGTTTCATCATTGGAGAGAACCGAATATTGAAGCCAGCATGTTAAAATTTCTGGACTTTCCCATGTTTACTCTTCATCAGGTCCCACGTGAGGTGTGAGGTTCCAAAGGAAAGATGAATAGATGGTTAGTGGAGGAACTGACCTCCTAAGGAAAGAACACACAAATAATGGATCTTACAGTGTAATTTTTATCTTTGCCAGTTTTATCCTTAGAAAATTACTCTGCCCTTGTCCTCCTATACGCTTTTTACCTTTAAGAGAATACTAGAGGAAATGTATTGTTTTGGCATATGGTGTTTTTTAAGTGTATCTTACCAGAGAAAAATAAATGGTGCCTATACTGTACTTTATTGGAGTTATTGTAAAAAATAACATTTCTTCTGGGGCATGATTTACATTTTGGTTACTTTTAGCTTCACACTATAATTAAGTGAAACATTTATCCCTCTGTTGCTTAATTCTTTCATTTATTAGCACAGTGGTTTTTGTGCTTAATCATATGCGAGGTGTTAGGGTTCAGGAGGAGTAAGAGATTGCTCCTGTTCTCAAGGGGGTCACAGTCTAGTGGGAAGAAGGCGGAATTTAAACAAATTACCACAATCTATTGAGATAAGCACTTTGATGAAGATATGTAGTAGTACTCTGGGAGTAGTAAGGGAGAAACAAGAAATAGCAGATATTTGTTAGACCAGGGCTGGCAAAGTCAAGTCTTTAGGGCCTAGGATAATGAGAGGGAGTGAAGTGAGGGGCACATGGAAGGTCACGCGGAGCTCACAGGGACTTTGGTCCCTATCGAAGAGGCAGCTGCTTCTTGGCTCCAACCATGAGCATGGGGCCAGTGTTGTCCAGACCGACTTCTTAGGGAAATAGATTGGTATGTGCAGTGTCCAGATTCAGAAGTGTTGTTATTGGCATTCAGAGGATCTGAGAGAACCAAAGTGATCACCTTTCTTGAAACCACCAAAAAAATGTATTGTTTAGACCTAAAGAGTAGCAGCTGTCCCCAGCCCTGCCCAGTGTAGCAGTGGTTGAGTGTCGCCCAGGCACTGAAGGGTTCAGGGTTATATTCCCCATTGGGGCATGTGCAGGAGGCAACTCTTCGTCTCCCTTCCTCTCTGAAATCTATAAAAATATATATTAAAGAAAATCAATGGAAAAATATTCTTGGGTGAGGATTAACAACAAAAATCTGTCCCCATTGGCAACCAGCTGTGGGTACTTTATTGTTAATGCTCAACAAGCATCTCTTAATATCTCCTGTGGTTACTTTTCCAGGTGAGACAGGCGAAGAGGTTGGAACAGGGATGGAGAAAGTTAGTGAAAGAGCGGAAACAAAAGAAGAAGAAACAGGAGGAGCTGTGGAACTTCCAGCAGCCATCTAGATAGGTATGATGATGGAAGGGTGAATGGACACAGAGTGTCATCACAGAGGACAGAAAGATGTAGGGAAGCTTGTGGTTACAGATCTCACCTTAATGACAATAGCCAGAGCCAATAACAAGTAGGGTTTATGATCAGTAAAGAGTTTGAGGGTGTTTTCTTCATTGTGGCAATGGGTCAATTCAGTTTAGAAAATGAGACCCTAAAATGAAAATATAAACCTTTAGGTATTGGTGGCTGGAGGAGGGAGTTAGCAAATTTTAGGGAGCTCAGGATAATAAAGTCATACAGTTATAATTACTATGGAATAAGAATGAACAACAAAATGATGCAAACTATACCTAGGATGTCTTTCCTACAACAGAAAGGCTGGTAAAAACCTTAGAAAGTATGTCATCTAATTACCTTCTCTTCTAGAGTCTACCTACTACTATAGAGCCTTATTCATCATGTTATGTTAAAAGTGTTAACAAAATCCTTGTCAAAGGAATTCAAACTCTGGTGCTGCTGCGAGATGAGGCGTTTTCACAGTGAAAGGCTACACATCTTCCATGTGCCATTTTGAATCAAGTATAGATTTTACACTCATGTGAGGTATTTCATTTGATCTTACCCTTTTGACTGACATGAAAGGTGTTCTAAATTAATTGAATTTTTAAAATATACTTTATTGATTTTTTACAGAGAGGAAGGGAGAGGGATAGAGAGTTAGAAACATCGATGAGAGAGAAACATCGATTCAGTTGCCTCCTGCATACACCCTACTGGGGATGTGCTCGCAACCAAGGTACATGCCCTTGACTGGAATCGAACCTGGGACCCTTCAATCCGCAGGCCGCCGCTCTATCCACTGAGCCAAACCAGTTTCGGCAATTAATTGACTTTTTAAAGTATTTCAGCCCTAGCCGGTTTGGCTCAAGCTCAGTAACAAGCTATATATTTGGTGTAGTTCCAAAAAGAGCAATATTTTTAGGTCAGAAAGTTATGTAAATTGGAACTGATATAAACATATTTCAAGCTACATTTTGTAATGCAAAGATGTTTTTCATGACCAAAAGGTATTTTTATATAGATATCTACTAAGTAGAAAATATCAAAGCTTAGTGTAAAATATGAATGATCACCTTAAAAAGTGTAATTATACTTTTATCAAGTACCGAAATAGGATTCATTTACATAACAGGCATAAAGGGATTTTTATGCCTATTAAGTAAATGTGGATTTTTTTCAATATGTAACAGTTAGAGATCTGTTCAGAACTCATGCTTGAAAGAACTCTTTCTCAAAAACATTATTATATAGTTGTACAAGTTTTCAAATGTTTTATTAATTCCATTATTTTCCATTAATGACTAAAATCATTCTCAGAAAAATTTGGAACTTTGTATAAATTTATGGTACTTTTTGTACTTTTGTCTTTGGTCTTTAATGTAGTTACTAACACCTTTTTAGAAACCATTCTTATTCTTTTAGATAATATTAAGTTTTTAATTCAAAACTTATAAAGAAAATGAAAACGTTCTATAATATTTGACTAGTTCAAAGTTGAAGTATTCCATATAAGTAATCTGTTAATTTTTAAAAACAAAATTAAGGTAATGAATGTCTATAGTAAAACTCAATACAGAAAGGTATAAAATGGGCAGTGAACTTCTCCCTCCCCCATCCCTTAGTCCTTCTACAAAGAGGTAATAAAGTTTCTTGTGTATACTTCCATAAGGTCATGTCTATGCCAGGCTATATGTATATGCTAAAACAAAAGTGTATATTTACATATCCACATCGTAAAACTCAAATGACAATTTACATAGCCCTTGCGTTGTGAGAAGTGCTTGTAAAACCACTGATCTATCCTTTCGTATGTTAGATTGTTTTTCTTTTGCCAGAGACAGATAGACTTAGCATAGCAGAGTGCATTCTGGTCCTAAGTCCCCAGACTCTGACAAGAGATGATCAATTTTGCCCCCAGATTAAAAATGTACAAGTTGGACAGAAGGCTTGAGCTGTTCATAATGAATGAATAGAACAACTACCATCAGGGCTGGATTTTCTAATCCCGGGTGCTGTATAGCCACTTTGTAGCCCAGTTTCTGTTATAATTTTAATATTTTCTATTCCTGACTGGAGGGAAATGGTGAGCAAATGATTTGCCAGCGAGCAGCCCCAGTAGGGAGAGAACCTTTGCATTTACCAGCAGAGGGTGCAATTGCAAATCGAGGAACTCTCCCGCCCAGACTCCAACACTGTGGACAGGAAGTGCTCTGTATCTTGCCTCCCGGGGGACCCACAGGACAGGAGCATGTGGTCCACCTGTGACCTTGTTGCTTTTCTCATTTAGACTTTGGAGTCAGAGCTCCTAGAATAGCTAATAGCTTTTGAACAGTCAAAACACCCACTCACTTTTAACAAACACGTTATTGCACACTTGCTTTTGGACTATGAATGGCTTTTAAAGGAAAATGTCTTTTCCCACATTTAACTGGTTAAAGAGTGTTGGATGGTCATGGTCCAATAATCCTAGTAGGATTTACACCTGTGCTCATTTGGAAACTGCAATAGCTTGTTAGAGCATCTAATATTATAAGCATCTCAGTTTTATAAAGGTAATGGGGTGACCCAGTTAATTCTGAATTGTCCCACAAAAGCCACCATAAAGCCATTCATGTAGCCCACACACATCTGTACGGTAAAAGGAGAATGATCCTCTTCTCTTTGTTTCCTCACACCAAACTGCAAGGCATGGCTGTGTCTGAATAGTTGAAAGCATTTGCTTACAGGATGTCATTGAATCTAACACTTCATCAGCTCCTCCCTTCCCCAGAGCTTATCAAGTTAATGAGCATCTGGTTATAATTTCAAGCTTTTAATCGCAGAAACAGAATCAGTGTAATTTCAGAGAGCAGCTGGCAGGTGTGTAATTTCTCTTTTCAGTTCTTGTTACTACCGACTAAAGTTAGGGAACTACGTGGTATTATTAATTCACACAGAGTAAGATTGGAGGCCTTTGGCTTTATTTCAGAAATACCACTTGGCTAACTTATTGGACAATATTTGGGATATTGCAAGCTAACAAGAATATCATGATTTCTGTGCCTAATAAAAGAAGTCTCCAAACATCAAATCTTTTGAAAGTAGAAGGGCCAGTCCATATTCTATTAATCTAAATTGCCCTTTCAGCTTAATAATGTGCTACTGACATGAATAAACATGCTACACTATCAACTGTTGAGCACTCTGCAAGCCTCAACAGTTTCTAGGATAAGAGTTGTGAGAAGCCACTTACGGATACTAATTTTGGTTTGACATCTGCCTCATTTATTTTCCTTGTAGAATATAGATAGTTGTCAAATTTTTCTTAATAAAAGTAACTGTAGCAACATATCATTCATACTATTATCTACATTTATGAAAAAACTAGAGGCCACTTGCAGGAAGATTCCTGCAAGAATAGGGCTTCCTTGGGCCTATTCCTGCAAGAATAGGGCTTCCTGAGACCGCAGCGAAGCGAGACCTGCTGCCTCACTCCCTCCCTTCTCTGCCGCCTGGGTTCTCTCCCTTCTCCACTGCTTTGCTCCCTCGCAGGGTCAGGGGTCTGGGGTCCTGCGGGCAGCGTTGTGCGCTGCCAGCCCCCGCCTATAGTATGCAAATTAGCCGCCATCTTTGTTGGCAGTGAATTTGCATATCACCCTGATTAGCCAATGGGAGGTGTAGCGAAGGTATGGTCAATTACAATGTTTGTCTATTATTAGATAGAATTATGCATATTATATTGAATTGACTTATGCAACCCTGATTCCAAACACTTAAAAAAAAATTATTCAGTGACAAGAAAAGAGGCTTCTATGGTAGCTGCACTATGTGACTTTGGGTTGGGAGGGAGTGTCAGCCCCAGTACATCACTGGTCAGGGCACAAACCTGGGTTTCGGGTTCAATCCCCAGTTGGGTGAGTATGTGAGGAAACTGATCGATGTTTCTCTCTCACACTGATGTTTCTCTCTTTCTTTCTCTGTCTCCCTCCCTCTCTTCCTCTCTCTAAGCATTTCCTTGAGTGAGGATTAAAAAATAATAATAAAACAATTTTTAAAAAAAGTGTTTATCATTGTAATATATACCCCTGAATGTTTGATAGAGTTTACCTATATATTTTTTTATCATTTATTTAATGATAACACTTCAAAGAGATTGCTCTCTGAGTGCTTGAAAGGCTAACGTAAGTGTTCCTTTTCACATGTACAAAATCTAGTGATTCCCCTTCAGAGTGGAAAGAAGACTCAAACTCCCAACCCAGCCACTAACAAGCCAACAGCTTGGGTACCAGCACTGTATTTCCAGCTCTTTAACTCTAGGGTTTGAATTTGCAGTCAAGACCTATCCATAAGAATGCCCCTTACTTAGGCCCAGCCTAGGCAGAGTATCTGATTTCCTGGCTCTATTATTTTATTGTTTTTTAATCAAAGAAAATACCAAGCCCAATTTTATAGGTAAACTCTATATTTTTTAATAGAGTTTACCTATAAAATTGGGCTTGGTGTTTTCTTTGAAAAAAATATTTAAACTACTGATTCCATTTCCTTCATGGTAAAAGGAACATTCAGATTTTCCAGTTTTTTCTTCAGTCAGTTTTTCTTCAGTCATTCACATTGTAGAATTTGTGCACTTCATCTAAATTTTCATATCTGTAGGCATCTTTTTCATCTCTTCTGGCTGTATTCAAGTGCCCCTTTTCGTCTAAGATTGCTTATTTAGGATTCTTTTTTTTTTTAAGTCAGTCTTGCTCAGAGGTTGATCAATTTTGGTTTGGTTGACCTTATTTTCTTTTTATCATTCACTAGAGGCCTGGTGCATGAATTTGTGCACGGATGGGGTCCCTTGGCCTGGCTGGTGATCGAGGCCATCTATCCCAGTCCCGATCAGGGCGACTGGGGCCGTCTGGCTTGGGGGAGGGACCGCGGGAGGTTGGCTGTGGGAGCACACTGACCACCAGGGGGCAGCTCCTGCATCGAGC